GAAAAAAAAAAAAAAAAAAAAAGAAAGAAAGAAAGAAAATACAGTTGGCCCTCTGTATCCTTGGGTTTTGCATTCACTGAGTCAACCAAGGGCAGGTCAAAAATATCCAAAGAAGAGAAAACCAAACAAAAAATAACAATACAACAATAAAAAATAATACAAATAAAAAACAATGCAGTATAACACTGTTTACAGAGGATTTACATTTTATTAGATATTGTAAGTAATCTAGGGATGATTTAAAATATACAGGTGAATGTGTGTAGATTGTATGCAAACACTACACCGTTTGATATAAGGATCTTGAGCATCCATGCATTTTGGTGTCCGTGGGGATCCTGGACCACTCTTCCATAGATACTAACTGATGACTATATACTGATGATGTCCAAGCTTACTGGGTCCCATAGACTTAAGGAATGAACTGAGTTCTCAGGTTCGGAGGCATTAATGATATTTCCAGTATCATTGTGGAGGATGTTTTCTAGTTGGACGATGATTTATATGTTAAATTTTAAAGGATGGTGAAATGATTCTTTTCCTGTGATAGTCACAAAGTGCTCTACAAATAACTTATTAGACCAAATGTTTTAAAGCTCAGCCTGATACTGCCTTTGCTTGTTTGCATAAAAGCAAGTGGCATTTGGCTGTCAGCACAGAGCTCGTACCAATGATAGCAAAATTGACAGTGATAGAGAAGAATGTGTGTAAAACTCTATGGCTGGAGATGGGTGCCTGGAGCAGCCGCTGAAACAAGATGTACCTGTTACGTGACCTTCTGCATTCACTTTCCCTTTAGGTACTCTAACATCTTGTTACTCAAAGAGTGGTCCAGGAACCACATCAGCATCACCTGGGAACTTATTAAAAATGCAGAGTCTCAGTCCCCACCCCAGACCTACTGAATCAGAAGCTGAGGTTTAATAAGATCCTCAGGTGATTCCTACTCACATTAAGGTTTGAGAAGTGCCATTCTAAAGAATAAATAGATCAAAGAGTTTGTGATGTTTTTAGTGACTGAGCCCTTTGACTTTACCATTTCCAAGTCTTTAGGACCACAAGTTATTTGGAAGTGGTTATCAAACTTACTAGTTATTATATTGTCTTTCCTCAAGAGGATGGATAGAAATTAGAAGTGAAGATTCTGGAGTCAGATTGCCTGGGTTCAAATGTTAGCTCTGTCACTTGTGCCTAATTTCCCCATTTGTTGAGTGGAAACTGTGATGAGCAAATGTGTACCCCACTGATCTGTATTGGATATGTAACTGAGCTACAAATAAGCCTTTGCGGGTGGGGGGTGTTGTCGTATTCAATGTTGTTTACTCTTATTTGATTCGTAGTTTCTTGGTCCTAGTTGAACTGTCAATTATTGAAAAGTAAGTGAAATTGGGAAAACTTTTCACCTTTATCTA